GTGAAGCCGATCCTTTGACCAAACGTGTGCTAAACAATTGTGGTATCTCCCCTTCTGCCCTGGGTTATTCTCGTTTTCTGTATCATCCGTTCACACCTTCACTATCACAATTTTTACCGTGTTTATTTTGATATAGTGTGGTGTGCTCCTTTGAGCGACATGAAACTTTCATACTCCAACTTTCATTCTCACCCCCTCTTTTTATCCTTGTGCAGGGAATGTTGATCAGAGTCTGCTTTATTATTATGCAGTAATCTTTCCTAGTCTTCTCCCAGTCTCTCTGTTGCTCCGTAAAATCCGTCTGTTCTACCCCTTGTTCACCTATTGCACTCGACTCCTGCCACTACATCTGTTCTACTCGAAGCGTTATTCGCCCTCCCCTGCGTCTGGGGGACTAATTCGAGGCGCAAGCCTCTGAGTGTCATGGTCACCCCTTTGCTACATGTACCAGGTCTCTGGTACAACAGACCTACCGTCAGCCAACTAGCTCCGGTCCCCGTCGTCTCTTTCCTGTTTCTATCCCTAATACCAAGTCTATGATTTCCCATGCCTTAGTCTCTTGTGTGCGTACCCACAAATGTTGTGGTACAGCTTGTAGAAAGGGTGCATCACTTTTTGCATTTATATATTTTCAAGCCTAATAATATGGAAGACATCAAAAGATTCAAATAATGAAAGATTGATCGTGAAATAATTATTATACTAAAACTTTTATATAAAAGTCTTTTTGGATACCATCCTAATTAATACGACTCCATTGTTCTATATCAGTGAAAAATAAAATTCAGATGACTCAGTACATAGAATTAGTTTACACACCTGCTCCCATGGTCAGGCCAACTAAAATAGAGTTGATCCAGCCAATCATCTCACGTGAAGTGTCGTAATGTTCGACGATCTCCGTGCTCAAAGCTCCAAAGGCATAAGTATATCCATCGAGGAGGACGTGGACAACAAAACTGCCTAGCACCACCAACCAGCCCCAACCACCCTCTGACACATGAGAGGCATCAGCCTTAGCATTTATAGTTTCAGGATCCTGAGATTCAGAAGAAGCGGGCATTAAATATGATGGCTGGTGGGCCGAGCTGGCGACATCCAATTGATGATGGTCTGACAGGAACGGAGGATCACAGATTGGAATATCTCCTAGAATCGGGAACTCAGGTTTTTCGATAAGGCTCTTCTCAGAAGTCATAATAGGATACTCAGATTGTGTCTTTGGCACCAATTGTTCCTACGTGTAAATTGGATTGAAGATAAAATTAGGCAAGTTGACAATCGCCTCTGCTAGTGATTACTCCATATAGTAACCATTAATTAAATTATTATAGCAAAGACAAACAAATTTCAGCATGAAACTTTATTGAAGAAATGATAATATTATAATAGGCACATAAAATCGATAATAAATAAACAAGAGTTTCAACGCGAATTCATATCCCACATGTGGTTACCGATTAGTAAATGGCATTGTAGGCTATCTGGTCAATGCTCCTATATAGTACGTGCTTAATTCGAATATAAATATTTGTCATTAAGAGCATGGGCTATTCCGTGCCGAAAGTCCATCAGGCAACTACTTATAAAATTGGAAAATAAACTATTAAAAAATGTAGAGCTAAAATTATTATTATTTACCGCATCAATTTATTTGTATACGAAAATAACATATAAAAATGTTCACATACATATCTCTATGTAAAGGCAGCTTTATGGTAATTTATATTTATTAATACTTTCGCTAATAAGTAATGATTTATTAGCAGATTACTAATATGATCAATAGGCAATTCGACTGAAGAAAGAAATAGATTTTAAT